GCTACTTAATCTTCCTTTTTCTCTTCTCTGTGTACTTATCAACCATTTTTGCTCTACTTATGAATGTCATTTTTTTCCTGGAGCTCTGTTCTTCACTTTTTTTCTATTCTTCCTATGTTCATTCTGGTTAGGTAATTGCGTTTGTTCTCAAGAATTTAATTGTGCTGTCATGGATCCCAAATCTATATCATAGTCCCAATCTCTGTAGAGCTCACTCATATTTTCAGCTGCCATCTAGTTATCCATAAAATGATGTCCCACAGGGACCTCAAATTTACAATATATAGAACATTTATCTTCTTTCTCCCAATTCTTCACCTTGGTTAATGAAGTCACTATCTACTCACATTAACTAGAGGATATCTAGTCATTATTATAATCATATAATCATTCTTAACCCTTCCTGCTCCTCTTTCAGTTATTCATCAGATCCTTTTGCTTCTACTGTTCATTCTTGTTTCCTCAGTTTAGTTCAGTCTTTTATTCTCTTTTGCTTATGTTACTACCACAATATTCTCCTAATTATCCCCCCCCCTTTTCACCTATCTCTCTTTTAATTCATTGTCTTTATCATGGATAGATTTTACTAAAATAAAAGTCAGTATGCTACTCTTCTCCTTCCCCTAAATTCCTGTGCTTCCAAATGGATATCAGAATATCAGCACCCAAAGTCTTAGCCTGGTATGTTACCCCTTAAACATTCCCTAACCCATCCTCACTGAAACTTTGTCTTCTGCATCTCTTTTTTCTCACGCTTCGCAGTCCAGACCATTCTGTTCTCTCAATTTTCCTTGCTTCTCTTCTCTCTAGATTGCCTTGCCGTGTTTCCATTGTATTCCTTTTAAATTCTATTCTTTAAGGTTCAGCTCAAATTTCATCTCCTTTATGAAGCTCTGCATAATCCTTTCTCTGTTTATATACTGCCTGCCTACTTATGACACTTGGTATTTTGTATTTACTTTTCTTCCCTACTAATCTCTGAACTTTGAGAGACAGAAAGTATTTTTTTTCCTACAAAGGAGAAGATTTATTAAGTAAGTGATTTCAGTAGCAATTAAATACAATAATTTCTATAATAGTAAGCCCAGACTTTAACTGTTAACATTGTCTTGGGATGTTGGAGAAGGCAGCACAAAGAAACATTTGAAGCAGTCTGAATATAAAAATGTTCACATTCCAGATGGAGAGTAGAGCAGGGATACAGGCAGTGGGGTAGAGTGAGCTTGGTTTGTTTGGGAACTGGCTGGTAGCACACTAGAGTTCAAGCCTAGCTGTATGCATGTAGAGAAAATGAGGCTAAACAGTTATGTTTGGAGACTGGGAAGAGCCATTGTTTATTGTATTGGATAATTTAGAAGCTTTGTGTGTGTGTGTGTACACACATAAATGGGGTCATGCTCTGTCACCCACGCTGGAGTACATGTGTTCATAGCTCACTATAACCTTGAATTCCTGGGCTCAAGAGATCTCCTACCTCAGCCTCTCCAGTGTCTGGAACTAGAGGCATATGCACCACAACTCCTGGCTAATTGTTCTATATTTTGTAGAGGCAGGGTCTCGTTAAGTTGTCCAGGCTTGTCTTGAACTTCTGTCCGCAGCCGATCTCGCTGTGTTGGTTTCCCAAATTGCTGGCATTAACAGGTGTAAGCCACCTCATCCCGCCTGTATATTTAATTTTTGACTGTAATTGTTCTTGGCAGCATTGACATGAATGTTATACTGGTTAAACAGATTCAAATTGCCTTTAATATTGAGTTGTTAAAATTTCCTAGGAAATTCTGTTTCATTTTCATATTAGGGCTTAATTTCAAGAAATTTCTTATTTCTTTATCTAGTGAAGTAATTTATTTAAAACAACCATTTGCTATTTTACAGCAAAAATATTTATCTAAATGATACATCCTCTATTGCTGAAATGTGGCAGCATTCTTTTAGTACCAATGGTCAGCCTATCTTAATTAAACGGTAGTTTGGTTTTCAGAAACCATGGTTTTGCTGCCATAGTTACAATGAATTTTTTTTGTAGTTTAAAAAAAAATGTTTCTATGAGGTTTTGAATAATAATCATTTAGATTTTGAAAATTTACCTAAAGATAAATGTTATAATAGTACACCGTCTTTTACAGTGCCATTGTATTCTCATACCTTATATGTGTTATACTAATGGACTTGTATTTTACACGGGACTGTCATTTGTGTAATTCAGAACTATCCAGAAAACTGAAGTTTGCAGCTGTTCTGTTGAATATTGTTTTTCTGTTTCACCTTTTGTTTGAGCTCTCTTTTAAGATAACACAACTGCCCCCCATCAGTATCAGTGTTTCTCAGGAAATGTGAAATTTTCATACTTTAGAGATTATTATAAAATGTTATACTTAGCAATTAATTATGCCTATGCTTGTGTGTATATATGAAAGTACTTCTCTTAATGTGTCTACCTTCTTTAAAAATATAACTGCTACAACTGGTGTACCATTTTTCAATTATTAGTAGCAAAAAACTTCATTATTATAATTTTTAGACATCAACTGCAGCTTTCTCTTGTATATCCTCTGAGCTATTAAATTGATAATTATGCTTTATGATGGACATGTGAAAGCAGAAGATAGCTTTCCTTCATGATTAAATCATTAAGTGAAGGAGTAGTAGGACTATATGTTTTGATGATCAATTTTTATGGAATGTGTTTGTACATGAAGGAATGTTAACTTCTATTAGGTTCTGAGACCTGGTACTAGAATATGGACTTTAGGAAATGAGATCTTATCCTGTATTACTTTACAGAACTTTGGAATGTTGAATAAAAGACAGGATTCCTTGCCCAATTGTGGTTAGATGAATATACTGCTTGCATTATGTCATTTCTCCATTGCATTAAAGTGGAAGCCTGCATCCCTTTTCCTACCCCATTGTCTTGACTCCCCTTAGCTTCATTTGATATACCTTAGAATTTAGATTATGCAAGAAGAAATACCGTCTTGCCATTTTATTACTCTGATAAAGGCACATGCTTTTACTTGTAGTTGATGGTGAAAAGCAATACTCCTTCCCATGCTGCTGTAATAAAACTAAAGGGTATGGTAACGGATCCAAGCACCTAGTGGCCATACGCAGTTCGTGAAAGACTTAATAAGTGCATCATGTATTTTGCTGGGGAGGAAGGACCTAATAAGTGCGCAATCTCAGACTCTTGGACTCTTGCTGTGTGGGGGGACTAAGGTGGGTTCTTGTTCTGTACCCCACATTGGATTGAAGTGGTGCTGTCATAGCTCACCTAACCTTGAACTCTTGGACTCAAGGGATCCTCCCATTTCAGCCTCCTGAGTAGCTAGAACTAGAGGTGCTTGCCACCCTGTCCAAATAATTTTTTAAATTTAGGAATCATCCACCTCTACTTCCCAAAGTGCTGGTATCGCAAGAGTGAACCACTGTGCCCCTGCCCCACAAGTTATGGTTAAATGCTGTAGTCAGATAGTTGCTCATGTGGGGAAAAAAAATGTCCTTGGGATTATTGCATTGGGAAAGGGTTTAAAGTCATGATCTGAGATTTATTCTTATGGTTTTATGCCCACATGACGAAGATGTCTATTTTCTGCATATGTTGTTTCTATCAATATGTAGACTAACTTATAGAGCTTTCACATGTCACCTACAGAAATGAAAGAGAGGAAAGTGGGACTATTCAGAACCAAACACTTCACGTACTTAACTCATTTGATTTTCATAAATCTTTTTGAGTTGTAGGTGGGTAGTCATACTCATTTTACAGACAAGTAAACTGAAGTTTAGAAAGGTTATGTGACTTGTCCTCCCAACAGTAACATGCAAATATACAATTTTATTTTTATTTTTCATTTTTTTTGAGACAGAATCTCACTCTCTTGTCCTCAGTAGAGTGTTGTAGCGTAATAGCTCACAGCAACCTCAAACTCTTGGGTTCAAGCGATTCTTTTGCCTCAGTCTCTCAAATACCTAGGACTACAGGCACTGGCCACGGCGCCTGGCTATTTTTAGAGATGGGGGGAGGGAGTCTTGTTTAGACTGGTCTTGAACCTGTGAGCTCAGGCTGTTTACCTGCCTCGGCCTCCCAGAGTGCTGGCAGTACAGGCATGAGCCACCATGCCCGGCCCCCAAATATGCAATTTTCAAAAATAGATTTGCTTGATTTCTTTTGTGGTTGAGTCTTTTGACCCATCTGGAATTTATTACATTATTAAGCATGACTCAAAAATCATTCTTTTCCCTAGTGCTGTTCAGTGATAGAAACAATATTTACCATAGGATAGTACTTAGTAATGAAGATTGCTTAGTAAGTATTATCTGAATTTTCCTTTTGCTTTTGTCATATGGCGGGGGATAGTCTGAATAGATGCCTTCCCTCTTCACTAATTGGTCTCATGTCTGGGTGCTGCCGCTTACAACTTTCAGTAATAAATAATCACTTAAAAGCAAAAAAACTAATGTTGATCATTTACTACTGGTTGCCGTAGAAACTGCCCCACAGAAAGAAAGAAGACCCAATTAAACACAATACATTTTCATAATTTCAAATGTGTATAACTTCCATTTGTGACTATGGATAATTTATTTTACATTAAACTTCGTGTTTTATTAACTGTGGTAAAGCCATTACCCTGTAGACACAAATCTACGATTCCGATGAGTATCTGTGAAATGAAGATAAATGCAGTAGTAAGGGGAAGTGAGAATAAAATTTCGTTCTTTTATGAGGGGCCAGTGCATGAATAAAATCACCTGTGGCCAATCTGTGGTAATTTTCCTACTCTTCTACCTGGCAGTTAGAAAGTAAAAAATCTACATACAAGATAAAAACAACTCTTTTCTCCCACTACTCATGTAACTTTGGAGAAGTGTTAAACTGTACACAAGACATATTGAGAGGAGAAATGAAATTTTAAAGCATGTTTTATATTTACTTGTAAGAAAGTAAAATGTTCATAATGTGAGCCAAGAAACTAATTGTGTGTTTGTTTCTTTAGGATGGATTGGATGCTTTGGTATATGATTTGGATTTTCCTGCCTTAAGAAAAAACAAAAACATTGACAACTTTTTAAGCAGATGTAAGTAATTTTTTGTGGCGGGAGATTAATGACAGACTGCATATAACTACATCTTGACTTAGATTATTCAAGCCCTTCTCTCCTCGCCCCTTCTGTTTACCTTTTGGTTATTTCATCACTAATTCCTCTGTAAAATTTGTAGGCAGTGTGAAAGAAACTTTATTAGCCAGTTTGGATGTCTGTCAGAAGAATTTATAAAATATTTTGAAGAGAAAGGGAAGAAAAACAAATAAAGTAAATATGTTAAAAATATGCATATACATACAAATATATGTATTGAATTTCAATAATGTTATGTTTGTCCTCTATTTTTCTTTTATAAATGAGTTAACTATTATATTTTAAAACCAACAATTAAGGGTAGATATATATGAAAAGCCTTCCTACTGCTGAGATAGGAGAAATTTTCTCCACAAAACCTGTCTTATATTTAAGTTTTATAGATGTTGTTTTCTAAAAACTCCTTTTTGGATTTCAGCATTTTAAAATTTAATTAAATAACTTATTAAAATAGTTTTGCGCTTATATTCTTAAAGAATTGATAATAAGATTTAGATTATAAAATCCTCCTCATCTGGTTGACTTATTTATGGTTCTTAAGCCATAAATACTGATACATTTAAATTAGATTGGTTTTGGTGCTATGTTTCCTCTTTTTTTTTCTTTTTTTCTTTTTTTGAGACAGAGTCTCATTATGTTGCCCTCGGTAGAGTTCTGTGGCATCACACCTCACAGCAACCTCAAACTCTTGGACTCAAGCAATTCTCTTGCCTCAGCCTTCTGAGTAGCTGGGACTACAGGTGCCCACCACAATGCCCAGCTATTTTTTGTTGCAAATGTCATTGCTGTTTAGCTGGCTCATGCTGGGTTTGAACCTGCCACCATTGGTATATGTGGCTGGAGTGGTAACCACTGTGTGACAGGCACTGTGCCTATCTTTCCATTTTTTGTTAAAAAGTTACAAAATTGATTTCAAAATTTGGTTACAGTTTTTATTAGAAAGGTTATAGTTATATCTTTTTACTTTGTTGTAATTTCTTTTTATCATTTCTACACTTTGAAATCTTACCTCAGAATTTTACTTAACAATTTTACATTCTGTTAGTTTTTCCTTTTTTAATTAGTTTTTTTATTTTTATAGTTAGTATAGTTATATATTAGTTTTTATGTTTATTTGGTCTTAATTTTATTTTGGAATATGGTGCAAGGTTCTGAATTGAGAACCTTTTAAGTATAAAAGTAATTTCTCACATCCTACTGAAATAGCAATACAATTGTATTAGTGTTTACATTTGCTTACCTTCCTACTTGACAGTATAGTGAAAGAACTAAGAAAAGGAAAAACTTGACTATTTCTTATTTGATGGTAGATAAAGGGTAAGTACTCATTAGTGCAAAGGCTGTGTATATCTGTGTATATGTGTGTGTGACAGACACACATTGTTCTAGAGGTTCTAGCCAGTGCAATAAGGTAAAATAAAGAAGAGTCATATAGGTTGAAATTGAAGAAATAAAACTTTTTTAATTGCAACAGTGTGCTTTTCAACATAGAAAACTCTCAAGTTTCTACGAAAAGGCTATAAGAACTAATAAGTACATTCAAGGTGGTTTTAAGTTAGAAAATTAATATTCAAAAATCACTGGTATGCTATTAGCAGCAGGCAGTTAGAAACTGACATGAAAAATTGAGGAAATTGTATTTCAAATTGCAAATACAATAACAATAAAAATATAACAAATTCACAGGTAAATTTCACAAAATATGTATAAGACATCTATATGGAAAACTGTATAATGTTGCAGACAGAAATTAAAGAAGACCTAAAAACAAAAAAGAGATTTAATATTCATGGAGTGGGCAATTTGACATTTAATTGTTAGTCGTCCCCAAATTAATTGTCATATAGAGTTTCCATATTCTCAAAACCCATAGCAGGCATTTTTGTGTAAAGTGACCAGTAATTCTAAAATTCGTATGGAAATGTGAAGCTTCCAGAACAGCCAAAACAGTTTTGAAAAGTAAGAGCTAAGGTGGAGCACTAAGGTCAAGATTCAGACAGCATAGTCTTGGTGAAAGAATAAATACATAGATCAAGGGAACAGAAAAAAGGAGTCTAGAAATAGACTCATACATACAGGTTAGTGTATTATATGGTCAATTCGATTTTCAGCAAAGGTGACAGAGTTACTCAGTATAAAACTTACTTTCACCAAATTTCACCAAAATTAACTGAAAATGGATTATAGACCTACGTGTAAGAACTAAAACAATAACACTTCTGGAAGAAAACATAGAAAATATTTGTGGCTTTAGTTAGGCAAGGATTTCTTTTTTTTTTTTTTTTTTTTTTGAGACAGGGTCTCATTTTGTCGCCCTCAGGTGGAGTATTGTGGTGTCAAAGCTCACAGCAACCTCAAACTCTTGGGCTCAAGCTATTCTCTTCCCTTAGCCTCCCTAGTAGCTGGTACTACAGGTGCCTGCCACAACGCCTGGCTATTTTTTGGTTGCAGGTGTCATTGTTCAGCTGGCCTGGGCCGGGCTTGAACCTGCGAACCTCAAACTCTTGGGCTTAAGAGATTCTCTTGCCTCAGCCTCCTGAGTAGCTGGGACTACAAGCACCTGCCACAATACCCAGCTGTTTTGTTGTTGTTGTTGTTGCAGTTGTCATTGTTGTTTTAGCTGGCCTGGGCCAGGTTTGAACCCACCAGTCTTGGTGCATGTGGCTGGCACCATACATACAGAAATAAAGAAATGAAAGGGCGGTGCCCCTAGCTCAGTGGGTAGGGCTCCGGCCCCATACACTGTGATTGGCTGGTTTGAATCCCACCTGGGCTAGCTAAACAACAATGACAACAAACTATTATTTTTCCCAGGTCTCCATTTTCTTTTATTTTTTAAAGTAATTTCTGTTCTTTACAAAATGTGTTATCACATACATACACATATGTGTGTGCACTTGCACACATGTGCACACACAGGATTTAAGATAGAGGAACAAAAGAGTCTCCAAACATAATTTTTTACAAAATCAAAGATTACATTAATTTGCTTTTCAGTCATTACATAATGTATATACATGATCCATTTAATGATTTATGTTCCCCAAGTGGTTAAACAATGAGGATTTCCTATGAAAGACTCTATGCAAGGTTTTAGAAGCAGAGTACTATCTCCTGCAAAAACCAACCTCAGGCATACATTTATGTTTACATATATTCCTTGAGAACACTAAAGTAGCAGTATATAGGTTCATTTCTGTAAAAAAGATCTGAATTATTTTCAAGAGACTCTTAATAATGCATTGTACTTTTAGATAAAAATCCTGAGACAAAAGATCAGTTACTGTGACAATAACAGTTAAAACTGCATATATGTGTTAGAGATCAGAAGAGGCTATAAAGAAATGTAAATAATTGTGCCTTGGCGAAGTTTTTTTTTTTTTT